ATCAGAAACGGATAAGTGGAAAGGAGAATAGAAGTCAATTCTACATATAAGGACAAGACTAATGATAAACTCTTGATTTAACATAGATTCGCAAAAGATGCCAATGTTGGGGTGGTTTACAGTATGTTGACACTGGTCACTGGTATCACGAGCTAGTAGTACCATGTATGGCAACGAGAAGTTTTTTCTGTGGGGTCTGATGGGTTTGCCTGGTTATCAGATTGTGACAGACACACCCCGCACACGTCGTGGATGCTGTTTCGATTACCGGGGCCTGTTTCTTTCACATAATATCACTGAAGCTAAGGAACGATGCATGTCAATAAATATTTTACAAGCCATCTTAATTAGATTCATCAACACATTCAAGATTCGTAAACAGTGCAGTTTACTTACCCCCCGCGATATGCAATTCTGAGACAAAACACAGAGAGCACCTGACCGCAGACTGAGTTTCAAGCCCATCGAGTCGATAAGCGCCAGCTGAGCAGGTCACTGTGTGTCTGTGTGGTTGTCTTATGCTTTCCCATTGACGAGCATAAAGGTGACTGTATTATAGCGCATTGTGCTGTACTAAATGCAGATAATGGGTCGATGTAAGTATGGGCATACTACTGCAACGCATCAAACACAATGAGGCAGATTGAAACAATCTACAAGTGGCATTTCATGCATGCAGCTCCCAGGATGGAAAGGTTTGCAAAAATGTCAGCAAGATCTACCACTATGCATGCGGCGGTATGAGGAATGTCTGCTGCGTTTAAAACTATGCTGAAAAAGGGCGGACTTGTACCTCTCAGAAACCATTGGTAGTAAATCACGAACACAGATATTGAACGATTGTGCTGCAAATGACAGCAGCTAAAGAGGGGACAGGGAAACCTCTTCCCTGTTGATTTTGTTCTCCCACGAATCAATACTCCGACCCGGCTCGGCCCAAACGCACACACAGAATGCTTTGCACACTGCACGACATTACACACTTTTCTGAGTATCCAAGGCCGCTCAGCATTTGCTCACAAAGTTGAAATGTACGAATTAGGGTGACTGCATCAAGCTGTGATTGTTTCAACATGGTCTGTTAGAAAAACATAAAAAAAGCAGGACAGTGCAACTGACAAGAGAGCAGTTATTTGTATGGAGGCAGCTGATAGATTGAACCAAAATACATCAAACAAGAAGTCATTGCCTTTGACTCAACGGGCTGACTCAGTGGAGACTCTGGTACACGCCCTAAGACAAACATACAGTCACCTGCACGCCTAAGGGAAAGGTGGACACAGGAAAAGCAGTGTGTGGCTGTGATTAATGTCTTATGTATTAGTGTGCGATGATGTATGAAGTACATGAGAATGCAAATTTCTAAATAAGCACTGTTACAGCCTGTTACAGCGCCAAGCCTGTTTTTAAAGGTGCTCGGCTCGAAAATGACATGTGCAAGAAAACAAAATGACCTTAGTCTTCACTTCTAAAAGGTTTTTAAATTATCATATTTTTTCTCAAAGCCTTGGTTACATCGTGAGTTGGTGTAGAAAAGTAGAATTATAATAGATGTTTATTTTTAAGTAACATTCATATTGAACATAGTAAAAAAAGGTCTGTCCAGAATAAAAAACATTACTCTATAGTCCGAAAAACATTCTTGAATGAATGGGATAGTAGACTAAAAGCTTTAGGAATCAAACTAATAAGATATAATAAGTACCCTGTATCAAGATTGATGCAGAACAAGTGACATTTGAGCTTTTTAGATAAAAGAACCCACTTCTGGGGTCACTTGGGTGTATTTGCCATATCTCTGGAACCCATTGGTCGATTTTGGTGATTGACACCACTTTTGAACCGTAAGAGCCAATAGAATCGAGGGGAAGTTCCTAAATCCATCTAAACATTACCATTGGTGAATAGAGTGATGCGCAGCCAGCATGCCCAAAACCGGAAGCTGGGTTACAGCTCTCATACACTTTGTATGAAAACTCAGTTTTTGACAGAAATGTTATGATGGATTATCAGTAATCATTTCAAAGTGACACAGAAACATTGGATTAACCTTCAACAGCATTTGTATGCGTTTTAATGCCATTGATCACAACTTTTGATCAGAAACAGCAAAGGTACAACGTATTTGCTGTTTTGGCTACGTGAAGCTAAGTTGTGTGTTGCCTGGTTTGCCTTCGCTGCCGCAAGTTTTTTGTCTTGTTTGTGCAGATCCGATGAAGTATAACATATTTCTACCGTGAGTTATGTGCTAAGTGCATTAATACTCTTTCGCTTAGTGCCAATTCAGACGCTCGGCGTTAGAGTTGTGTTTTGTTTCGGTAAAGAAAATTCATATCGTCAGTTAGCTGAGTTTCTTCCCGTTAAGTGGGTATGACACATTAATAGGTTGTTAAATGTTAAAAAGCCCTAAGACACAGTTTCGGGCAGGGGCTATGGGGCTTAACATGTTAACTACTTAGAGCTCAACAGACTGAAAATGAAAGCCTAAAATATCCCTTAAACCATGAATCTTGCTTTTCACCTATTGATCAAATCTCCCATACCTAACCGAAGCCCCCGTTCCAGGAACAAATAGAAAGTTGGACGGCTGCTTGTTCCTGTTTATTTTTTGTTCTTGAGTTGATTGGCCAGCCAATCAAGACCCTCGTAGAGGCCGTCTCCGCTGGTGGCGCAGGTGGCTTGGATGTACCAGTTACGGTGACGCAGGGAGTGTAAGCCCAACTTGTCTGTGATCTCAGCGGAATTCATGGCGTTCGGTAAGTCCTGTTCAGAGAGGAGAGGGTGAGAGAAGTCAAGGGTCAGTCATCTGGCTTTGTGTGACTAGAAAGCAAATATCTTCCAATTTAGTTTAGGGTTCAAATTGCAAGTATTGTTTTTTCTGCAGATGTGTGTGTATGGTTTTGGTTTGAAACAGATCTAATTATGGTGATATTGACTGATATTGCAAAAGTGATAAATATATATAAAGGATAGAAGGTCACAAACAAAACTATGTATATATATTCTTTTCCATCAAAGACTTCCAGAGGGTTGTAAGCCACAATAGATTTTCATCATTCAACTAAGGTATTAAAGATCAGAATCGATTTTATTACCAAGTTTACACATACGAGGGATTTGCTTATTATCATCTTTTAATTTAGACAATAATGATTATAGCAGTAGAATTCTATTTTGAAGATACTAAGAGGTTTATTGATATGGACTGATCTTCCACTACAACCCTTTTTTGTGTCAATTTATATGCAATATGTACAATAAGTGTGTATTTACAGTATGCCGAACAGTTTATAGTTTCTTGCCTGTTTGTTGGCAAACACAAGGAGGACTGCATCCCTCAGTTCGTCCTCAGCTAACATCCTCATCAGCTCCTCCCGTGCTTCGTTCACACGCTCTCTGTCGTTACTGTCCACCACGAAGATTAGACCTGAAACAGCCAAACATAAAAAACGTCATCCTAATTCTTTCTGAGGAAGAACAGGAAAGTAGCGTTTGATTAGCTCTTCTCACCCTGTGTGTTCTGAAAGTAGTGTCTCCACAGGGGCCGGATCTTGTCCTGCCCGCCCACATCCCACACAGTGAAGCTAATGTTCTTGTACTCCACTGTCTCCACGTTAAACCCTGGAAATAAGAGTGGGGTCATACAACATGTAAAACAAAAATGGCGGTCCATTTATGCATATGACAATAATTAGCAACAGATATTATTTTTGACTGAGCACCTACCGATGGTTGGGATGGTGGTCACTATTTCCCCCAGTTTGAGTTTGTAGAGGATTGTAGTTTTTCCTGCAGCATCGAGGCCCACCATCAAGATCCTCATCTCCTTCTTCCCTATGAGGCTTTTCAGCAAATTCCCAAAAAGGTTCCCCATGATTCAGATGAGGTTCTGAAACTTCAGTGTGTGGCTACAACCTTGATCAAAGAGGATTTTTCACAAATGTGTACTTGTCCAGCAAGGTTTGATTAAAAAGGGGGGCTGAAAAGAAACAGAACAAATACACATTATTACTTTTATGTTTAATGCAATATTGCATTGTGAAATCAGATGAATGATTCTCACAAACATGTTGGAATAAAGAGATGATTAGTAATAAGTGACACGCTCTTTAAGGCCTTTGTTAAATTACAAAGAAGGGCACACTCCTGCTCTTTTAATGATCTGAAAACACTGCACTACCATGACAGAAACTGTCACCTTTTTAAGTAAATGTCCTCGCTGTGGGACAAATAAAGGATCTCTGATTTCTACATGCACCGCCCTAAGACAGGTGCAAGCTATGCTAATTGCCTTCAGTCATCATCACAGAGGGTGAAGGGGGTGCATGTCAGTGCCATGACTCCAGGCTGCAGCACAATCTGTTCGGACCCTTCTCGTTGTTTTCTTTCTCCTTCAAATGTTATCTTGCGACAATGCCAAGCCCTCAGAGCACATTCAAAATGTCCTACATTACAGGCCTGGCTTGAAACCATTCAGTTGATCCCCAACCACAAAACCACCAGGACTAAAACACGGACAGAACAACACGTCTGCAGTTTTGTCCAACATTCTGATTATTGTGTCGGCAACAAACATTTGTGCATATTTATGTATCAACAGAGTATAGGAGTAAAATGCTTTTGTATAAAGGACTGGGTGATGTGGAGAAAATAAAATGTAATGATCTCTTTGTACATCAGTGATGTTGAAATAAGTGGGTAAACAAAAATACCACAACACCAAAAACAGTCTAGTAATTTCCCCTTTACATGCAACATTCAAGACGACTCTTATAGATATGCAAAAGATAAGATGATATGTAGTTGCGAAACACGACATCTGTATACGATGTAATATACTGCAAAGCTTCATTCCAGAGTCCAAAAACATTCTCTAAGAGTAGAACTGCACACAATTATCAAAGCGAAAAAGTCCTCTTACTAGCTATAAGCCTGATTATCCGATTGATTTTATTTCAATGTATTCATGCAGTTATCTTGTAGTTTTATGTTGCGTTTCAACACAGCAAATGTTTTTTCACAGATGGAATGTACCTGAAACTAATGCAGAGGGTTGTGTTATAGGTTATATTTAATGTTCCCAACTAATGTTTTCTAAATGTAAATGTAACGTAATATGTTTTTGACATTCTGGCATATGCCCTATGTGAAATCTACAAATTGCAAATGCTCTACATTTAACAGTATGTGTAGAAGCAATATTTCATGTTCATCGTACAACGCCAGTTAAGGGCTCAGATTATCAACAGACTCATATTGAGATAACACACAGAGGATAAAATACAAATAAATAAAGTCTCCAGAAGAACTGAGACTAGCTTCAGCCCTGTCCATGGTGCTGAAGAGGACCACCACACCTGTCACTGCCTGACACCAGATCCTCTCCTCTCACAGGTGCGTTCACAGGTATGAGTGTGAGCTCTTATAAAATGTGATTACTGCACGATATACCGGCCTGATCATGTTCATTCAGCTCCGGGGGACTCAGGTTACGGCAGCAGGATGCTACACGGTTACGTTATGGCTAACAGCAGTCCATCTCACTGCTTCAGCTAGCAAATAAGCACACTTAATCTCAGCTACCAAGTTTAACGACCTCCTCATTATCTAAAATAATGTAAGCTCTTTACCAGTTTAACTTTAATCGCTTTATCGACTACCCGATCCACCCCATTCAACCATCCGATTATATCCCCTCCTCAGCGGGCATCCTGCTGCCAGAGAGCCGCCCACCGCAGCCACAGAGCGGACAGCACCGAGGCTACACAGCCGCCACAAGGCAGCCATTAAACACAACGATATTTAATCACCTGGTGGTACCTGCGTGTGTGTTATCTGGGTGCATGGTGCCAGTATCCTTACTTACCTTAGCCGAGTTTTCCTCTGCTGCTATGTCTCACGGTATTTTCCGGGAGACGAACTCAGCAGTGAACCAGATCTCGCGAGATTTGATGTCAAAGCCGAAACTTGATCGTGTACCCTGCCTGCATAGGTTGACTGCAGAGGTGGGGAAGTACATTTACTCAAATACTGTACTTAAGTACAATTTTGAGATACTTGTCATTTACTTGCGTATTTCCCTTTTATGCTACTTGGTACTTCTACTCCACAACAATTCAGATGTGAATGTACTTTTACTCTTCTACAATTATTCCATACCTTTAGTTGCAGATTTTGATTAATGATGTGGGAATCATCACTTAAATAAGTCTTTAGCTACACCTGGAGAAAATTCACAAGCTACCCTGCAGTATACAAAGTCATTAAAACTAGCTGCAGCTTTACCAGCTTTGCTAGGTAAAGCTTGCATCAATAATTATAATCAAAACATATAATATATCCTATTCTGAAATATATCAATCTGCATGATGAGTACTTTTTATTTTGGTAGCCTACTTTAAGTTTATTTAGGTGACAATATTTTTTTACTTTTACTTAAGTAACATTTTAACTGCAGGACTTTTACTTGTAACAGAGTATTACTACACTCTGGTACGTCTACTTTTACTATAAGTACATAAGATTCCATCTCTGGTTGACTGTATTTTTTACAGGCAGGATTGTATTTGGGTTTGATAAAGATTTGCCACATTTCAAAATTATTTTTGGAACATTGTCACTTCATTTCTGATTTGTAAGTGTTTTGATTTTTCACTTATATAACAATGAAATAAAGGATGAGGTTAAACACAACATGCTGCTAAAGCTTCAGTTCTTTTTTAGTTCAATTTCAATAACATAAATATCACTCTTCACATAACTTTAACAAAAAGTTAACAATAAGTAGTGCCAATAAATTACCTCTGGTGAAAAATGTGTTCTTTCTCCAAACACATAACAGTTATATTCGTTTCTCTGTTTTCAATGGGCCATGTTTGTAACCACCCAAGACTCAAATACTTAATTAGTCTGATTAGTCATGTACACCTATACACAAAATGGTGTGGTCATTCTTCTCGACTTCTTTTTAAATAAAATACTTCTTTTTTTTTTATTATTGCCCATGACATAACAAAAAATGAAAAAAAAAATACACATTTTGCAATGTTGTGTAATATAGTGTATTTTAAAATTAAATAAAGTATAATTGCATTGAGGGCATCAATTTAAATTCAAAATGCCGAGAAGCATCACCAGCTTCCACTTGAACACACACAGGAGGTTTTCCAAGAGATGACCAGAACCTGAAAGCATTCTTCAGTGCATTTTAATTAGCTGTATGCACTTAGCATCAAGTTCAATTGAAATTATCATTGTCATGTATGTGCTGATTTGAATTGCTACTGAGCTTGACATCCTGTTGTATAGAGTTCCTGTTTTTTGTGTGAAATCAAGTACATTTAGTTAAATTAAGTTAGTCTTCAGGAAATTATCTTCAGAATTGCATAACGCTATAGTGCAATATTTTTATCCACAAATGGGGAACAAAATAAAAGTTTCTGAATAGAAATAATCATGCAATCCTTAATGTAAATAATTAGGTGATATAGACTATACTATTTTTAAACCACAGAAAATCTTATAGTCGCCTATATGAAAAAGAGAACTTTAACACATTAGGTAAATGTGGCAATGGGGGCAAACAAGGTATGTGAAAACAAATACAAATGTATCTTTATGACACTACAAGGATGTGTTTTGATTTTGTATCGTCACGGTTTATTGCACTTATTGTATGTATAAAATTGTCAGCTCAATAAAACATCATGTAACGTAAAATGACTTACTGTTTTTTTACCAACAAAGTATAAATATGCTGCTATGCTGTATGCATAGTTCTGTTATCTGAGCGGGAAGCAGGCTTTATTTGTATTTTTCACAAAAAGATGAGTCATTAGTTTACATTTTGTGCTGCACTGTGATGTTTTGCATTTTAATGTACTTGATCCTACTCCTATTTGTAAAGAGGGAATCTGTATTTTACTGCTATTTCAGACATTTAAGTAAACATTAACCACACATTTACAATGCTTTGACACACTGTGCTACACTGTTGCTCACCAGGCTTGAGCAAGCAACATCATGGCATTTCGCCTAGCACTGAGCAGACTAGGTTTGTTTAGCTGGCACCATATCATAGAGATTATACTAACGTTTGTCATAAAAGGTATTGTCTATCTAATACATGAGCATGGCACACATACTGCAAGCTGTGCAAATGATACTTCCAAGGCATCCTGGACTTGAGACAGTTGATGGTTCAAATGTTTGCCGCTCTGCTGCTTTGCAGGTCATTATTGCAAATACAGCGAGGGGGAGTGGAAGTCATTTATAGATGAAAATAACACAGTTGACGAGATGGAATGAGCACATACTCTGCAAAAATTATATCTCAATTTGCAGGTACTAGTTTGGCTTTTTGAGTTTTTTGAGACTAACAGAGTTGTAGTTCTGAAATTTAAATAAATAGTGTTTATACATTTCCAATCCTTATTAATCAAGCTATTCTTATAGGTTGATTAATCACTACTCTACTTGAGTTGCTGACATTTAATGATCTTGTTTAAGTCATTGAGGTTTTCTGCTTGACAGGAGTCATGACAGCACTCATACATTACACTCAAACTAAAAAAAGGGTGATGAATCGTTAAATATAGGGGAAGAAAATAGGTCTCAACGTAGTGGACATGTTTGAGATCATCTAATTTTTCAACTTTGTAAATGACCACGCAATGTGTGTTTTATTCAATTTTCACATTATGTTTTCTTACTATGTGTAATCTCTTGTCTGGTTTTGTAAAGTGTCCTTGGGTGACCTGAAAGCTGTAAAAAACCTTATAATAATAATAAAATGTCTAATAATAATAATAATAGTAATAATAATAATTATGATAATAATGATAATTATTGGGTATGAGGTATTGCCACGTTCTTTTGTTGACAATTTAATATTTGTATGTCTGCTTTCTTTTTCCTCCTTGAAGTTATTGTTCCCTTATTATCCATAAACATTTAATATGACAGAGAAATACTGTTTTTGTTATTATGGAGTTTCACCTCATTTGACATTGTCTGCTGTCCTCTTCTGAAGTCAGTATCAGTGTGTTAGTGAGGGGCTTCAAACAATAACACAGATAACTCACAGGCTTTAGGAGCTGACAGTCTGCTGCAGAGCACTGCCCCCCAGTGCCTCTGCAGAGCTACCGCTGCAACCCCCCCTCCCCCGGCGGCTGACGGGATGCTGGCGGAATGATCGAGGCGGACTCTGTAAGGAGGCCCAGGTGTTGGGACAACGTCCACGGGCCGCGAGTCCTTATCACTACAGCATAATAACACATCAGCATTACTCGGGGCTGAGCCATTTTGGACACACTGGGGCACGCTCTCCCCCCGCTGCTGTATGCATAAGAAGCCTGAACACGGAAGTTGTTGGTTTGGATGGCAGCGGTTTTCCAGAAGTTCACGATGAAAAGCACCGTTTTCCTTCTGCTCCTGGCAGTTCTCACCTGTGGATTCTCGCAGGGAAACGAAAATGATGTCGAGGAGGTGCAGGTGGAGACCCTGGTGAGCCAGACACAGTCACAATGCAGTAATAACACCCACTGCCAAATATATGCAACAGTGTTAACAGTTAACTCTTCTGACCCAAAGGTGCAACCCGAAACTTGCTCTGTACTTTCCAGAATGGGAGATACGTTGAAAATCCACTACACGGTAAGACAAAGAACACAACAATCCGTTATGTCTGCGTTTTGTAATGATTCGTAGGGAAGCGGAACCAGCTGCTGACGAAAGCAGTTGTTGTCTATGTGGCACCGTCTGCATGAACCATGGGAACCCGCTGTGTTTATGTATTACAGACAGATCTGGGTTCAGTAGCTGTCAGAACTGCATTTTCGAAATGAAAATGGGTCAGATTGTGGTTTATTGTCAAGCAGTAGGCCTACGTTTGATTTGGGATTGTCTCGTGTGCCTTTATCTGTCCTCTGCTATTACTATGGAGTGATGGGGCGGTGCAACACGTCAGCAATAAAGCCCAACCACTTCATCCAGGCATTCTTATAGTAGGCCTACAGGAGGCTCTCTACTGGAGGCTCACACATGTTGATCTTTAGGAAATAGAAAACTCACAGTCTAAATTTTATTAGACACATATTTTATAGATGAATCGAATAATCGTTCGGTAGATAAAATGTTAACAATATTAAGAATCCATTATGTTGTTATATTTTCTTTTAAGAATAACGTAGTCAAGTATACCTCCTAAAAGGGTGCATGCTCAAACTTCTCAGGAGTTGATACATTTAAACAAATCAATCATTCCAATCTTAGTGTTGTTCTTTCCTGTCACCATCTCACACGTTACTATGTATATTTCACTATCCAGGGTAAACTGTTGGATGGAAAGGTGATCGACTCGTCACTATCCGTGGACCCGCTTGTGGTAGAGCTGGGGAAGAGGACAGTTATTGCTGGTAAATTAACAGTAAATCATTGTGTGTTGCTCAATCAGTGGCACTTTTGAGAGTTCTGCAACATGTTGAGTGTGCCGGGGAATGTGCTCGCTTTGCTGATTGAATTTCTCTGTGTGATTTTCTTATCAGGTCTTGAACAAAGCTTGGTTGGCGTGTGTGAAGGGTAAGTAAAATGTGAAGGTCCATTTGAAAGAAAGAGCCTATCAATTGATTTACTTGTCTGCATGCAGCCTTAAGCATTGCAAAAACTACTTTATAGTTTTGTGATGGAATCTGAGAAATTCTTCCCCTGTAACTGTGTTCTCTTTTTCTCGTTTAGGCAAAAAATTAAAGCCACTATTCCATCTCACCTCGCATATGGAAAAAAAGGTTACCCTCCTACAATTCCAGGTACTGAACCCATGCAGACAAATCACACAGACATATGAGCAAAGGGCTTGGTGAAAATGTACAATCATGAACAAAAAAACAATAAGCCTCATTAGTTGTTTATTTAGATATGTATATGTTCCTATTTGTGAACCGAATGTATGCCCACTGAAGTGCAAACAATTAAATAATTAATTTTTCACCTGCTGACTAATAAAGTCTAATTTCTTTTTTCACTTTTAATTTTAATTTTTAAAACAAAAAAAGTAAAACACATTAAACGTGAGTTGGATCTCTCCTAGGTGACGCTGTTCTTGAGTTCGAGGTGGAGGTTGTTTCTCTGACACAGCAGACGCCATGGCAGAAAATGGTGACGGACGTGCTCCCCCTCGTGTGTCTGGCTCTGGTGCCCACTCTCCTGGGCCTGGTGGGCCTTTACCTCTACAACAAGGCTAATGCAGAGAAGCCAAGCAAAAAGAAGTCAAAGGATAAGAAGATCAAGAAGAAATAAGGACAAGCCACAAAACTATTTAAATAAAGTTTTTTAATTGTATTTGGTGTTCTTTATTTTTATTTAATCTGAATTGGCTTTGTGTATAAACCATTCTGGTAATTAAGGAATGTTGTAATTATGTATAAATTCACTGTCTTTTAATCATTATAATGGTCTGAAACTTCTCTTACCAGAGAAGCTATTAACCAAAGCTTTACAGTTTGTCTCTCTATCAACCTTTCACACAGCATGCACAATAAGCCTTCCATCTTGAGATAGGTAACATATATCCATAAAGATTATGTTTTCCTTAATGTTACATTATTAAAGCTAATTATTTCTGTATGGAAATGTAGTGCAGACTTCTGTGATCACTGCATTGCCACATATAACCTCACTTTCAACAAGTAACCTGACTCAAGTCTGCAATTCAATTGTCATTTTTGAAGTCGAACAAATAAACAGGCATCCTTAAATATCGAACATTGCAGAATGTACTATGAAATGATTGGCTGTACATTTATAGAAGAAGAAGAAGAAGATACACTTTATTAATCCCTTACAGGGACATTTCCTTCCCCACACATTACACACACAGCACAGGGGAGCATATACATGCACAAACACAGAGGATGTACATGCACACACACAAACACATACAGATAGGAGAGGTGGCAGAGCAGAGAGGCAGTCAGGTACCCGGCGCCAAGGGAGCAGTTTCGAGGTTAGGTGCCTTGCTCAAGGGCACCTGGAGGTGAACTGGCACCTCTCCAGCTACCAGCTAACTCCGATCGGGACGTGAACCGGCGACCCTTCGGTTCCGGTACCTAAGGTTCCGCCTTATAACATTGCAATGAAATAGTGAAAAGCATGTAAGTCTGCTGTATTTTCACATTGATGTGAAAGATATGTGGCCAGTAAGACAAAGTAGTCTGGTGAATTTCAATCTCAAAATGAGTGTGAAACTCACTTTATCTTTATGATATGAAATAAATAATATTTTAACGCACTTTATGGCTCTCAGTAGAGTAAGGAACATAGATGGGCTTGTTTTACTATACGGCGGTGCTCGACGGCACTGCCAGTCTTCCTCCACCCATGAACTCCGCTCACTCGCGTTACGCTGGTAAGAAAACGTTGACTACACTGATATCCCTCCGCGATTAAAATAAGAATGAGGTTATTTTTCTTAAGATATTTTGTGCATTTTTTTAATTTAGTTTAGACACTCAATTCGAACACACTATTCTGTAGAAAAAATAAACAACATAGGGCATCTACAAGATTGTATTTTTGAAATAAATATCTTGAGGGCGGAGCGGATGGCCCTACTTCTGGCGGTACAACCTCTTCCGGTCCTCTTTCCAGCTTCCCGTGCAACATGGTGAGTGTGTTTCAGCGGCGGCCGTGTGGCAAAAACTGAATTTACTGTGATTGTATTCGAATTATCACACGTAATTGAGTATTATTTCCATTTAAAGACATAGCTATACAACGATGTGTAAAAAAAGTCCACAAATGTCACTCGAATGTATTAATAAAAAATAGTCGGGGCCTTATGCTAGCTGCTAGCATGCTAACCACTTTGTGCATGTGTTCCTGTGAATCAGCGAAGGAGGTTAATATGTGGAAATACACCACGAAGTGGCGTGGATTAATTATATATCTTATTTTATGCCGACGATGTGAACCAATGTGTCAGTTAGACATAACCCAAAAGCTTCAAATTATTATTGTTTTTGTGTGGTGCAATGGCTGCCAGGTTTGAGGCACCGCTGCCATCACATGCATATACAAAGCCCGATTTAGGAGAGATACACGATTATGGTTAATTCCCCCCACCATTTTATATTTGCATTGCGTTTAGGATTAGTCAAGTGTACGGGCTATTCTCAGATAATGTTGACGTATTACCTTGCTCAAAGCCTGTTGGAACAAATATGTATTGGAAGACTATGGCAATTGATTGACCAATCCCGGGATTAGGGACTTTTGGGGCTGTATTAAAATAAAGGTTAATTGCCATATAGGTTTTCACTTGAATATCATTTTCCTTCTTGTATTGTGCATGCAAATAACATATTGCTAGGAAATTAAATAAAAAGGCCAAAACGGTAACCCAAAAACATAATTGTGTTCAGCACGCCAACAGTTGTCAAATTACACTTGCGAAGTAAGATATTAAAAAAAGTTTACAAATGGTACTTAAGTTTGTATACGTAGGAAAAAAGTTGTATTGGTTAAATACAATATATATAATTGATCAAAATCAATGCTTTTTGCAATTCACTTGGAGACAAATTATTTTTATTTAAAAGGGGAAATTCTTTATTGTTAAACATAAGCAGACCTTTGCCTTGATTTCATGCCCATTTTAGGTACTTAAGTTGTTTTGTTAAATAGAAGCATAGCTATTGCGCTGTTTGGTTTTAGGTTGTATGTCTCTCTGACTCTTCTGATTTTTGTTTTACAGACAAAGAAAAGGAGGAATAACGGTCGTGCGAAGAAGGGTCGTGGCCATGTGCAGCCCATCCGCTGCACCAACTGTGCCCGCTGTGTGCCCAAGGATAAGGCCATCAAGAAGTTTGTCATTAGGAACATCGTGGAGGCCGCGGCAGTGAGAGACATCTCAGAGGCCAGTGTCTTTGACTGTAAGTGAACATGCTGTTTGCATCATAAATTGTCTTTTTGATTCTTGTGGCTTGTCCTAATCTGAATCTTTCACCCTGCAGCTTACGTTTTGCCCAAACTCTACGTGAAGCTCCACTACTGTGTCAGCTGTGCCATCCACAGTAAGGTGGTGAGGAACCGTTCTTGTGAGGCAAGGAAAGACCGCACCCCACCTCCCAGATTCAGGCCCGCTGTAAGTACTTTCTATTAGTCTGTGTTGCGTTAACTGTTGGATCTGCTAAACTACACTTAGTCCTAGTCACAGTAGATATTATGACCAATAATAGGAGGTCTAGCACAGGTGTTGAAACTGGCACGGCTGAATGAATGCAGATGATATGGGGATTTCTTTTTGTTTGACAAGTCACATTGTCCACTGTGAGTAGGGTCTATATGAGAAGTCTAAATGTTCCCTTTTTTTCTTTACAGGCCGGTGCACCAAGAGCCCCTCCTAAGCCCATGTAAAGCAGAATTGGACGATGCTGTACATCTGAAGAATAAATTAAAAAAAATTCTTTACAAAAACTTGAATGTGTGGTGTCAATTATTCTCAACTCACAATTGTGGATAGTTTCAGGAAAGACAAGCCTGTCAAGTATTTTATTTGGAATAAACATTTTTACAGTACAAAACTTACAGTAATTTAAAAGGCTCTGCAGTTATTTAAAGCAATATCAAACCATTAACGGTATGGGATGGTTAAAAAATATGGTAAAACTCAAGGGAAGAAATTATTCAACAAAGGAAATTGAACACAACTAGTTTCTAGTAGTACAGTCCATAAATGGAGTCGTTTATTTGGTTATCTTTGTGTCTAAAAGTAAAAGGTTGGGGAGCGAACAGCATTTGTTTTGCATGCATCAAGTTTAGAAGCACATATCTGTCTAGTGTTGCACATGAAGAAAAATTACCCCCTAATTTTAAATTTTTCCACAGAAAAGAGCAGATCATTTTCTAGTTTGCTTATTTTTGGAGAACAAAATGAACAGTTTTGAGAGCTAGCCAAGTAGTTTGCTATTCCTGTACAAGATCAGTCACACTTGAGGCTGACAAAACAGCTGAAAATGCAGGTATTCAGAATGTTCCACACATTGTATCTAGTTGGTTCTTTGGCTCCTAGCAGTCTGCATTCCCAAAACCCTTAAAAAGGTGAAGTTGGATCCAGTCAATAGGTCTAAGCTCTTGTCAAAGTAAAACTGATATTAAGTTCTGCGACCACTTTGGTGTTGACCATCTAAATTAGTGATGTCAATGGTTTTCTAAGTAAGGTTGCAGGTCTACATCTCAAGCTTCACTGCCTTGTTTGACTTACTGCAGACTTCTCTCCTGACACGACCTAACAGTCTATATTTTTATATTAAGGCAAGTTAATTTGAATATTAAATAAAACTACAACTTTAGAAGTGAAATATGTGTCCACCTATTTAGATGTGTTTCTGTAATGGGGAGAAGCCCACAGGGCTTTGTGTCAACACCTGACGCTCCCTTTAAAATCTCATACAGTATTGTGCAATACGTTTTCTAACCATTAATCAAAACAAGGTACAACTCCACTTCATAATTTGTTACAATTATTAAAGCAAAAGAACATATAGGGTAAACTTAGTTTATTTATTTTGAAAAGGAATCTCCAAATGATCTTTTCTAGATGTCTTCTGTAAAGCTAAGTGGAGATACCTCTTGGAAAGTATCCTGTTTGAAAATCTACAAGGTTTAAATAAAGGAGCAATAAAAACAGAAATATTACATTGCCGTTTCTTTCTTATTCCTACTAGATGCATTTTTCCCCCCTTTTGCAACTTTCATTTTCAAAATAACCTAACTGTAGAAAGAAGTGGTTCTTTGGTTGAGATGAGAAGATAAAGACAGACATGTCATCCTATGAGAAATCCATGGAATCATTCATAACACTAGAAATGATCCCTAAATATAAAGCCTTGAGTGGTCAGTGGATTTTGTTCAACCTGCAACCTGCTATTCCCTTGGGGAATAGATACACATTTAGAAATCTAGATATCAGTGGGTCTCTGAAAAATATGTCTCAGTTTGTCCTAAACTTATTTTAGTGACTATTTAGATTGAGAACATGGAGATGAATCTGAAATATAAACAAGGAGTTCTAGACCACTATCTCTATTGTTTTACCATTTAAACAAAACAGAATCAAGAGCTGAAAGTGAAACATCTTTTTTAACCCTTGTCGTGTTCGAAAGCTGTTACCGTTCATGGTGTTCGCGGGTCAATTTTGACCGATGATTTATCTCAGTCCAAAACACAAAAAAAAAATGACTATCATCCAATATTGTTTTAACTACATCATAAGTAACTTATTATGCATTCGTAACTGTACAATCCTGTTGTAATTTTATTTTATGGCCCAAAACACATTACACCACATATTGCCCACGTGCATGTGTGAGTTCAGGTTCAAGTGTTAGTGTACATATTCTTTGAGAAAGGTCGAGTTCCCGTGGGGGGAGGGGGCCAGAGGGATGGGAGACCAGGTGCATGTTGCGAAAAATTATTGTTACAGTGGATGAGGGGGATGGGGTGACTAAAGTCAAATATGAATTTGTATTGGGCAAAATTTGACCCTTTTTTTTTTTAGAGACCTTCAAACTTGGCTAAAATGGTCAAAATCAGTTTTGTAGTGTTTATATAGCTGTTGTGGAGGATATCATGAAGCCTTGTTCCTATCAAAAAAACTAGAGCGTAGTTATTATATAATTTGAAACGGGTCACGGGAGACCCGAACACAACATAAGGGTTAACGTACATTTAATTTCTGCACCTTATTACCAACACAGGTTATATCATAGATCACAACCAGCATTTTGAAAGAAAAACCCTTTTCACTGTGGACTAAAAATGTGTTCAAAGAAAATCTAATATCTAAACCTTTTTCCTGTGAGGACGGTATTAAACTGCCGCTGCACTTATTCATGTCATAGCAGCAAAAGCCTTGCACGTTAGTCTTTGATAAATTAGTAAAAGTGTTTTTTTCACATAAATGAAAATCAGAGTGAGGGAGTGAAGAGTGGGAGCATATAAATATTGTGCAAAGCTATAAGATGTGGACTATTGTCGGGAAAAACTTGAATAAGGAATTTTATTTTGTAACTTAAGTTATTTGAAATCACCAACAATGATCTGACATGATTCTGGTCAACAAGATATGATCAAGGTGAAGAAAGGCACAATGCAATAAGATAAAAACATCAAAAATAATTAGAAAATATAAATAGATTTGTGTTGGTGTGCAGTTTGATGTAAGAGCAAATGTTAAAGACTTGTTAAGACCCTAACCTATTCAGTAATCTCTAAAATTGTGGCAGTGATACTCGTACTCCTTTCCCAGAGGGGGAAAAACCTTTTTTTCTCCTTTAGAGAAATGTGCAGGTCATTAATGTATTCAATAAAATAGTTTAATATAATGAAAGTATTCTGGCAGGTATCAGTGCAACAAAAGCAGTAATAGAAGAGAAAAAAACAAACATTTCGCACATTGTGCCACACGGCATTCACACAAAGGCCTTCATTTTCTACCTTACTCGTTCAATTAACTTCCATAACACATATCACCGTCATATCTATCTCTCTCACACACACACACACACACACACACACACACACACACACACACACACACACACACACACACACACACACACACGTTAAAAACAAAAGTGCATTTCTTATTCACGGACAACCCCTCAAAGTCCTCTATTCGAGTTGGACCTGGTTTTTGAGTTTGGTCTGCACTTTTTTACATTATAAAAAGCATTTCTTAAGGCAACCCCAAGTTGTAAAAACTCTGTAGAACTTAACATTTGTAAGGGAATCATTTAAATACATAAGTGCTTTTAGTACAAGGCATTGACCTTTCTACAGATGATATTGTAGGTGAGCCTATTCACTTCTCATTGAGCTGTTAAAGTGCACAAGAAGGGACTTTTCAGGTTATGGACAAAAGCCAGATTGGTATATTGTAATTTGTGCATCAGGTTTGAATCCTGAACTTTGGAGCAAGGCACATCTGCGGATGAAAAAGTGCATTGTCTCATTATCTACAAGGAATTAAAAGTGCTTTTTAAATTGATTAATTGATCAAAGTGCATTTAAAGTACAAAGGACCACGCTTATAGTGTTAGAAAACACACATATGAGCTGACCATTAATCCTGGGATATGCGTTGGAGTACCAGCGCCTATTTGAAATTCTCAGATCAGTTTCATGTATTTAGCGTCTCCTTTAACCCGTGTGCAGACCAAACCCAGCCAGGTCCTTGTCTCAGTGTAAAAATATCTCTAGATGAAGCAGGCTGACCATCCTCTGTCCTCAGTCAAGAATGTGCTCTCCTCGGACGATGTGTGAAGAAAATTCATAGCGGTCCTGGCTGCGGTGTCCACAGATGTTACACTCGAAAGGCTGGCGGAAACCGTGGCAGCCCATGTGGATGGTGAACATGACATGGTCCAGGAAAAGCACACGGCAGTGCGTGCAACGAAAAGAGCGCACCGCTCTTCCCTCCCCGTCGACAACTCGAAACGCCTCTGTAGAGGTGGAGGACGGCGCAGTGGGTGAGCTTGGGGTTGGAGCGAGGGCAGGAGGTGGGAGAGCTCCGTCCTCCCGGTCTTTGGCGCGGCTGGGACTGTCCCGGCTCCTGCGATGTGAGACCAGAGGAGGCGCTGGGTGGTGGTTTTTGGAGTGAGGGAGATGATGGCCATTGTTGCTGTGCAGGGCCTGAGCGGTACTGTTGCAGGGCTCGTCTGGCATGCTCTCTGTGTCTGTAGAGTCATGGCAACCGTTGCTAGGTGAGGCCGCATGACTTCGACCCGCAGGCAGGTCTTCGTGACCCTCTGCTGCCTCCCTCCCCCCGACCCCCGCAGCTCTCAGCCCGGCTCCAGTCCCCGTGCAGTCCAGCCTGGCGCCCAGAGCCACGGAGCTGTGGAGCGGCCTGAGTTCTGTTAAACATGAGGGGTGGGTGGTGGGAAGGTGTAGAGGCCTCAGTGTGTCCGACACCCCTCCTCCTCCATTACCTTCTACACCTGCGTATTCTCCTCCCAGATGAGTAAAGTGTCTGGTTTCGTAGTCCTCCGCGTGCATCTCCCCGTCTTTATCCAAAGCAGTGCCGAGCTCATAAGGTGCATCTGCAAGGTTGAGGTGTATGAGCTTCTGTCCTGCAAAAGAGAAACAGAGTGTACTGTGGAAATCTGTGGAATACGTCCAAAAGCTTGTCCAGGTAAATGAACACCCGGCCAAGTTATTTGGTAACACTCTTTATGCCATGATTAGTTTGGAGGTACTAATTCTAACTCAAATTTAGTATTTCCTCTGTACAGGATTTTAATATAATTAAGTTCAGAATGTGCCATCTAGAGTCAATGTGATTAAAAAGCTTCTAAATGATGGTGCTTTGTATAAGATTTTAAATAATACAAATGTTCTTGTTAAGCATTTAATATATTGTTTTTCAGTCTGTATTTCCTGTGTAAAACCCAGGGATCTCCTGCACAAGATGTGTGTAACTAAGCAATAAACATCAATTCATTGTGCATATCTTTCTGATTCACATTGTAGTTTGGTTTGAATCAACAGCCAATCATGTAGCTTGGACACATACAAAAAGAAATCACTTGAAGAAAAAGATCAGTACTATTGTATGTGTTTCCCAATTCAACCAATTAATGCGACTTTTAGTTTCCTCAACCTGTCCACTCTGAGACCAAATGCTCACCTACACATTTTTGAGGTGTGGATCTCTTGCGTTTGGTGATGCTGTTGGCAAGACGATCGATAAATGCCATCTTGTCTGAGGAGGGTTGCAGTAGAGCGTGTGGTATAAACTCTAGCTCTCTCATCTCCTCTCCTGCAGAGTACAAACACACTTTAATGTTATTTGGGGGGTGTCTTATTACCCAGACAGCATTTAGCCCAAATGTTTAAGTTGTACGATGGTTTTTGGATAAAAAAAGCAACTAAGTGAGAGGTTGTGTTCATTGCTCTGTTTAGGAGGTACTGTAGACTACATTTCACTAGATTGACATCCGTTTGGAAAATGTTTAAGACACTATGTTTAGATTTTGGTTACTATCTTATCTGTGGAAATGTTGTTTACCTGTGACATGTCACCTATATGAATTCAATTAAACTGTACCTGTATTATGCGCACTGGAGGGCTGCTGTGACTCCAGACTCTGTAAGTAGCTGTGGCAGCGCTCGCGGTGCTCCTCCAGGGTGCTCTGCTGCTTGTAACTGCGGCCACAATAACTGCACTTATAAGGCTTCCCTACAGTTGGAGAGGATACTGCGAAGAGAGTATAAAGAAAAAAATTAAAGGCAAATTAGTGTCACAATATTGTATGCTATCATAAAGAAAATAAAAACTGTCATCAGCCTTGAACCCGTCCTACCGGCATGAGTGCGAAGGTGGCCAGTGAGCGCGTCTCTTCTTCTACAGGCATAGCTGCAGAAGGGGCATTTAAAGGGCTTCTCCCCTGAGTGCAGCTTGATGTGGCGGAGTAGGTTACCCTTTTGAGTGAAGGAGGCGCCACACTGATTACACTGGAATGGTCGCTCACCTGGGGATAGATCGAACCCATCAATCCAAATGGTCGGATTACATCTAAAATAACATGTGTGAACAGTGTCTAATTTCCTTCCATGACTAAATCCCCCTTGACCCATACTCATATAATTGTTGGCGTTAGAAAGAGGTTAGAAAGCATCCTTCTTCATGTTAACAATTCCCTCTTCATTCCCATCGCTCTTGGATTTCTTGTAAAAATAATCTCACCCACAAATGGAGTGGAACAGTAACCTTATTTCTGGCATTTCAGGGTAATTTGTGCTAATCAAGTAATCTCACAAACTTCCATGTGCTGTTCATCAAGCTGAAACAATGGCTTTAAAGACAAGTTCTTCCAGTAAATAGTTAAGTGACTTTGGCAAAGAACACAAATTATTATTATTTGTCCAGTACTTCAGTAAAGAATGGCAACATCACAGCAATGTGTGTAGAAGGTTATGTGTATAAGAAAAACACAATATTTATTTTCAACATCCATGCTATGTATTTGGACATGTGTCTAACCTTATATCCTTCACATACTGTAAAGGCAAGGCAAGGCAAGGCAAGGCAAGTTTATTTATATAGCACTTTTCAACACAAGGCAATTCAAGGTGCTTTACAAAAAATGAAAGACATTAAGAAAATGGCATTTAAAATCAGTCATTAAAAAGAAAAATTAATAAAAATAAACATTAAAAGAAAAAATACATGGATAAAAGTTACAGTGCAGTAAAGCAAATGTTTTCTCACAGAGATGACTTATCTGAACTGAACTGATCAGTTACCTGTATGGCTGCGTTTGTGCACCATGAGAACATTAGGGCCGATGCAGATCATTCCACAGATGTCACACTTGAGCTTTCCATTTGGAAGTCTGGTGGCTCCAGCTTGCATGGATTCAGGATTGGTGAGCTCCCTGTAGCCTCCAACAGCCTCATATCCCAGATCAGGACCCCCTTCTTCTAGCCGCTCCCCTCTCTCATCTTCAGTACTGCGGCCTGGGTCTTCATCACTGTACAGCTCCACTTTAATGGAGTTGGCTACAGAGGAAAAGAGCAAACACAAAGAAGTTGTTAAATACTTTTAAACAGCATATCGCCAGATTTAAGAGAAACAGACAACAGTGAGCTTATTTGTCATTACTTATGTGATAAAAGTAGGGACACCTTAGTATACTTTCACAAGCCGTAAGTCTGTTCAGCTAGTGCAAATCTGAGAGAAGCTGATACTTTTGGTTGGCTTTCTATTTATCATGGTTTGGTTTCAGAGTGCAAACAAATAGGATGACATTTAAAAACATTTGAACTTAAAAAGAGGTGAATAACCATTACTCACTTACCACTGAGTGAGCGACTAGGGGAGGTATCCTTGCTGTTTGGGGTGCTCACTGTTGCTCCTCCAAGAGCCCCAGAAAACTCTCTTTCCATTGAAGAGTCTCCACTAGCTGCAATAGAGAAGTGGAACAAGCTAGATCTGTCATTTGAACCACGTGCCAATTAATGAAAGTATTTACAACCGTTAATACAAACTGAATTAAGAGAAAGATAGGAGTCTTACCTGAAATGCAAGATGGGACATTGCAGTCTTCAACATCCATACTAGCTCAAGCTGAATACTGAAATGACAGTTGTGCAAAATGTTAAAATCAATCTGAATTATCTCAAAAAAAACTCACCTCTAGCCCAATGTGTGTTGTGCAACCCCCATTAATACATTAAACATTCAGTAGTTACAGGCCTAGGTCAAACTTGACATCACATGGGTTAAATATAACCCCTGATACACTTAAAGTTCATTTGGACAAGGCATGAAAACTTAATTCAGAGAAGTTGAGGATTATAATACAAATATATTGTGATATCACACATGAATGTCAGCTAACTACAAAGTTGTCAGTGCAACTTGACTCAAGAAATACATCCTGAACTGCACCAATGTTAACTGCAACATTAGCTACTAGCACTTACAATAGATGAGCTGAAGATTAGTTGTTAAGTAATCGAACCAGACAACAGTGAACTAGCAGCTAAATTAGCGTCAACTCAAACCTTAGCAGCCACAGATCAGCTCATTGACCCATGACAACATTAATAAAGTAGGCTAATGTTCAGGCTAATCTAACATTGTGCTCATTTGAGACATGTCTGATAAACACATCGTGATCAAGAAAGATAGCCTTTACTTTGACGTTTACATAACGGTGGATTTGAGGTGACCTAAATCTATGGGTCGGCCTCTGTGGCTAACGTTAGCATGTGAAATTACCGTTAGCTAAATTAGCTAAGCTTCACACTACAACGCTACATCAGTCTGCCATCCTCGGCAGTTTATTGAAAAGAATGTCCCAAAGTTAAAGCTAAGTAATGTGGGAGATGACGCAAGGGATATAATGTTGATTTGTGACATTAATAGTTTTAATGGCGCTAAATTGGACACTTAAGTCTTTACGAGGTTGTGTTTATCGCTAGCAATACAAACCAACGTTAGCCATTAGCTAGCCACTGTCAATGTTTCCTAGACGGTTGCTATGGCACCCACCCCCTCCCAAATGCAATTGCTAACCAGCCAGTGTTGAGCTATCGAGCTAGCTCTCCCTGAAGCACTGAAGCCGACTTTTACAACATCGTACAGCGGAGATAGTCAATCATAGAAAGTACTTTTGAAGTTGTATGGTTATCGCAGTAACTGTCGCATTACCTGTCCCTGTCAGGGCCGTTTCAGTGAGATTATTCTGTATTTTCATCTGCCTGTTTATGACGGCAGCATCTCCCGGCAGCGTTTACCTCCAGATCCAAACAATTTCCGGTCAGATGCCAAACCTCTGCCTCTCAAAAAGCAACAGTGAATGGCCTCACTTGAACTACGAATATGTTTGACGAGAAACTGTGAAATGAATTTACAACATGTCTTTATTTATTTCTTTAGCACAAGCAAACACAGCTAACACGATATGTGTGTGTTGTTTTACATTACCGTTATATTTATTAGTAGTTCTTTTTGAATGAATAGAACATAGAACATGTCTACATTATGGATCTCCACATGAGAGAAACAAATTAAATAAAAAGATTAAACAATTGATGTAAAAAAAAAAAAAAAACAACAGCTCAGATTCATACAGACAAAACAGGTTACAATGAACTTGTGTAGTAATAATAATATTTAAGAGAGACACAAGGTAGGATACAATACATATTAAATGTGATGTATTTATGTCATAATGTAAGGTATTCTAATGTATGTAAATCAGATCAGATAACAGTTGGTACGTTTAAAACAATAATAATACTTTTCAAAATGTGTTCTGTACTAAAGAATGGAATGAAGCCACAGGTTGAGGGACACCTGCTTCACCTGCATTACCAGACCCAATATTTGTACCTGTCAATTATTAAATTGGACCAATATATTTTCAGCTGGCGATGCCAATAATAATGTATATTGCAGCGCTGAAATGCTGTCTTAAATCAGGTAATATATTCATTTTGTAAATACTCTTAAAATGTATTGCTTTGGTGCAGTTGCATTCTGAAATTGATTTGGCATGTCTCCTCATAATCAGTTGTAAAAAAAACAGCTTATTCTCCTATGTGCAGCTCTTAAAGTAAATATACACTAGTGGCAAGTCTTAATATCTGTACTTTAAGCTTTATCAGATGTCATTCGTTTCTGGTGATACAACATGATAGCAGTTTCAGAGATTTAATAAAATAACCCCATAAATAACAAAATCTTGTAGGCCGCAGTCCAATTGTTATTATTATTGACATGTATATGGAAAAATAAAACTATTTTGATCCCTTGAAATAATTCACAATTTGCTACCTGGTAGTATATAAAGAATAATATAACTCAATAAAAATAACCCCTTCCTTTAGCCGCAATATTCAAATTATAAACACACGAATGCATCAATACATATATTTCAATAATCCAGATTTACAGATATACATTAACCTATCCTGAAATCTTACTTTTTGCCGATTAAGTAGAAGTAGCCAACTTTTATTTTTGTGTACACTACTTATATCTTGATGCTTATACTTTGTTGCTGTTATTTTCATTTTAACTGAGTATTTCTACTAGCCTATGTAGTATAATAACTTGTTCTTTCTAGGGGATCTAAGTACCTTTCTACCTTTACTGCTACTGCACATTGTAATCGGTGATTGAGCTTGAAGGACAGACTGAAAAAGTCTGAACAGGCTGTCTGTCAGAAATCTGCTTTGTCTGGGGCGCACAGTGACCTCTACTGTACAAGATGTGTCAGTTATGACGTATTGGCTGTTTTTACGACGGTGTGCTTACACAATGACAGTTTCCGTCAGCTCGACTCGCTAATCGTAACCGCATTGAGCGAGACTTTTTTTTCGATTTCAGTTTCAGTTTGGACAACAATTTCTAGATTTCAAACTAACGATCGATGTCGAGTTACATTTTACACACAGAAAGAGAGATTTTTTGAATAAATAGGAGTTGTACTTTGTGTACTTAAACTCTGAACTTCCAGCTCGAGGCCCAGCAGAGAGCTCGAGCGGCAGCTCCGAAAAGTTTGTTGTTGTCACGTGATGCGAGACGAATGTGGCGATAAAAGTTTGTTTAGATAGTAAAAAAACTAGGTGGCGTACTACGTTATTAAAACCTTTTGAACTCCTTTTTTCACCAAAATGCCTCAACCAAAGCATCGAAAGATTGCTGTTATAGGGTACAGGTCTGTAGGTGAGTAAAGCACACGAGCTGATGAGCAGCTAATGTTAGTAAGCTAGCTAGCTAACAGGCTAACGCTTTGTTTATGTGTAATTACACAACACACGCTAGATAACATTCGTCCATGTTATTTGTGCTCCGTGTGTTTACCCAGCAAGTTGATAACAAAACCACACTAACAATTAACATTATCCGATGGTATACCTAAAGCCATCTGTTACTATTTGTAACGTGTTGTGTGAAAACAAAGTTAGCTCAGCCGGTGACATCCTAGTATGGAGACTAGTAGTGGGGATTGAAGTCTAGCAAGTATGTAATGTCGAGAAATTAAGAAAATCAGCCTCTAACCATACAATACATACACCATTAACATAGCAAGTTAACATCAGTCGTTTATATTCTAAAAATATGTTTGTGTCTGATATTGCGCCACACTAATGACTAATCATATTCTGAGTTAACCGTTTATTTATCATGTTTTACCACGGTATTTATAATATTTAAAGAAGACATTACCAACAATGTTGCATCAAAAGCATTCACAATTCTTTATAGCTGTAAAGAAGAGAAATGACCCCACAGCTGAACAAATCACATTTTGATAGCTGTGGTAGCAGAACCGGTTGTGTATCTTAAGAGCTCTATCACTTCACCAATAGTTAATATCTATTAATTATTTTATAATAATAATAAAATTAATTTAGTCTTTATTATCGGGTTGTACACGTAATCTGAGAGTTTTTAATACAATAGTGTTTCCGTACACAAACATGACATATTTCCGAAAGCTACTACACTGACACAGTATTTGTGTCCCCAACAACAACAACAACCATGTTATGTTTCTTTGCCCTTCACAGGAAAGTCGTCTCTTACAATACAGTTTGTGGAAGGACAATTTGTTGACTCCTATGACCCCACCATCGAAAACAGTATGTGTCATTAATAGATTGTGTGTAAGATATTGCCGCTAAGAAAGTATTGATATATAGGGCTTGATCTAATAAAACAAATCTTTGTTAATCCCTCTCCCCAGCCTTTAACAAATTGGTCAACGTGAATGGTCAAGACTTCAATCTTCAGCTGGTTGATACAGCTGGACAAGTAAGTTCTTCATCTACCAACATATCTGACACAAGCACTTAGCTCTTGTTTTTTTTCCTAATTCTTATGCCACTGTCACCCTTTAAAAAATGTATATATATATATATATATATATATTTGTTGTTATTTTGTTGATTAAAAAGCTAGACTGGCCTACTTGTAGAACTGTGTTTTCCTCCCTTTTTGTGCAGCAAGCAGGAAAGGGAAAGGCTCAACAACAACAATAATATTTATTTAGATAAAAAGCTTGATTTGAAATCTGGAAATTATTAATTATATATTTTTCCAATACATTTTGATTTTGTACTTGTACAAGGCTTTAGAGTTATTGGAAATGTTTGGACCACACAAATCTGAAAAATTCACACACAACCCACAATGGGAATCTAATTTTACAAATAGTAAAATATGAATATAAGCAGTGTACCCTAATCTTTATCAGCATCTATGCATAAACACACATTTTAAACAGTATGAATAGAAATGCAAAAAGAGCTTAACCTAAACTGCGTAGTATTCAAATGTGGATGTACAATTTAAAGTGATAATCCTGTATGTGCGACTCCATTTAGTGATGTGTTGTGTTTGGTAACTTTAATGCCCAATGAGATTATATTACCTTTTTTTCCCTTCCGTCTGTAGGATGAGTACTCAATTTTTCACCAATCCCACTCAATGGACATCCATGGGTATGTCCTTGTCTACGCAGTGACTTCCAATAAAAGGTGAGTGGATGTTTCTTTTTCATATCTGTATGAATAGGAACACACTGTTACTAGTCTTAAAACATTCTATATTATGTAGACTACACTTTGTGTCTCACAATTAATGATAGGAATGTGTTCAAACATACAGACTTTACTTTTGTTGATACTTTATTCCTAGAACAAAAATATTTAAAAGGGTTAAAACTACTGTTGTGATAACCCACAGTTTCATCTATTTCAGTGCTGTATTCAAAATCATTGGGTGCCTGTTTGCCCATTTCTTTAAACAAATGTTCATAAGTATATATATTTTTCTAAAAATACTTTGATTTCTGTCCCTGCTCAGTTTTGAAGTTGTACAGGTTCTACACGACAAGCTACTTGACATGGTTGGGAAGATTCAGTAAGTTTAGTTTGATCTTTAAAATACAATGCTTCCAAAATGGTCTTTTTTTATTTTGTAAGTGTTTTTTGTTTTCCAACAAGTTTTTATTTTTATTTTTTAAAGGGTCCCAACTGTTCTTGTAGGGAACAAAAAAGATCTCCACATGGAAAGGTAATCAAGATTATTGAACATATTTAGAATCTAAACTGCATGATGTTACTGTCATTGAAAATACAATTAATAATGCAGTCAGACATTTTTCATGAAAACGGAAGACCTAAAAATGGATTATGTTAACCTAGTACCTGTTTATTCAAATACTAAAGGAGTTTTCCGTAACTGAAGTTTCCATTTCCATTTTGCCAGGGTTATCAAGCCAGAGGAGGGAAAGAAACTTGCTGATTCCTGGGGAGCTGCATTCATAGAGTCCTCAGCCAAGGAAAATGAGGTAATGACAGATATTTCCAATTAATCGATGATCATTCTGACAAAGATTCACAAAAGGAATTTCATTTCAATATGTTTCATCACACTGATTACAACATTCTTGCAATGCAGACTGCTGTGGAGGTTTTTAAGCGGATCATTTTGGAGATGGAGAAAGCTGATGGAAATGGACCTCCAGAGGAGAAAAAGTGTGCTGTGATGTGAAAGTGTATCCAGGACATCAGTCAGCTCATTTGCTGAAGACAAGAGGCACAACTTCACCAGCTGGCCAATCGTGACCTCACCGACACCAAGACACTGCAGTGGAACTTTTCTGCTCCATTGTGATGCTTGATTGATTTACATAGCAAGCCAACTGGCCCGACAGTCGATAAAACCATCCCACATATTGTAACCGCAAGGAAAAGTTTCTAAGAGCAAGATTAATCTTTGTTTTAGACAAAGAATTACTGACAGAAATGTAATCTTAAACATAACATCTATTCAAATGCCCAGAAAACAAAAACATATTTCCAGACATATTAGTCCCAATGAATTGCATCAAATTCTTTATTAAGTGTATTATGGCAATTACTTCTAAAGATGATGTTTGAGACATCATTGGCTTATATCTTCTAACTCTTTGATTAGTTGATTTAATGTAAAGGTAGGGCTGGTAAATAACATTCTTTAAGGACTGGTATTATTTCTTTTTTTTGACAGTGATTGAGAGTCACAGTTCACATTGCTTTAAATGTGGTGTTAAAATGTCAGTATCTCTTACAAATGGAGTTTCTTAAAGACCCTGGAGGAAATTGAACATAAGAAATATCACTTGTTTCACAGTTTTTCTCACTGTAATTGTTCCACTTATCTTCAGGTACCTTTCGCCAATGAACTCTTGAACTTTGTCTTCATGATGGAGGAATCTATTTGTATATCTAAAAACTCACATTTTAAGCTCTTCCGCTAAGCACATTAGTCCTCTTCAGTTGTTTATACAGTTTAATTTCTCCTTACTGACTGTAATAAAGATGTCATGGGCAACCCTCAAATAATTGTAGTTTAGGTTGGAATAGATTTTTGGTATTTACCAGTTATGGCCTTTTTATACAATATCAATAGAATCTTAGTCATTGGTTTGATACTATTGGTTATTTTGAGTGGTGCAGGTTTGCTCTCCTTTCAATATTCCAAGTAGATTATATTCTTATAAATGCATTATAATTATGAACATTGTTGAGTTGCATTTTTCGAATTACATTGTAACACTGCGTAAGACTATTCGAGTGTCTCAAGGCTACACATTTAGTTCAGTTATCTTTGATCTCATGGTTTTGATATGATGGTTTAAACTGGCTTTATTAAACCAAGCCAGAATGGCATGCAGTCCATTTAATTCACATTTTGGACTTTCATGATCACTTTCAGATGCTTGAGATCCTTAATACGTTTTTTTTCATAGATTTTGTAGCCTGGCAAAACATGACACAACATGGATTTCCCCCCATAATCCTCATGTTAAACCTGTAGTGGGTAATTTTTTAAGTGCTTTGCTGAGTAGTTGATTGATAATGATGGTTGAATTTAGCTGGTGATGCTGTGTCCTGTGCCTTACAGTTCCTCAAACTCCCTCATCTTCTTCCCTTCATGACTCAAGGTGCTCTTAAAGGGTTAGTTTTTTTTCCTTCTGTTTACTTGATACCACTGTGCAGGTGGTGTTGTGCACCTGGACACCAATATCCTCTTGTGGGTCAATGTTAATTCAGAAATCTTGCTGTAAACAGTTTTGTATATAAATAAATCTGTTACTCATTTCATGTGTCCTTGTGCTGGTTTGAGCTGGATTACAGTAGGGGTCGCCTATTTAGAACTGCGGTCAAGCCAGCCTCCACTTCGGAAAACACAGTCAAGCCAGCCCGCACGTTGTATTGCGGTGCACGAATATCCTATGCTTTAGGTAGAGGCCTGGAAAAACTGCCTTCAAAATAAAAGCGCTTACTCGGTCAATAACAAACATACTTAAAAAAACATACCAAAAATATTCATATATACTGGAGCTTAAATTAAGAAATATATACTATATAATGTGATCAATAATAATTCAAAACAAACTACGTATAACTACCACATTATAACTATTATTATGAGTGAATGTAAAACTTCAGAAACTCAGATGGTCCTGATTCTCTCTGAGTGACTAGATGGGGTGTCCTGCTATCACCCTGAAGTGAAATAAGTATTTGATACTGGAGAGTTTTTGTTTTATTCTTATCTAAAAACAAGAGGGATGATAGCTCATAAATGAGACTTCAAAGGTCTTTTATTTTGAAACTGTACATCAGATTGTCCTGATTCTCTGAGTGACTAGATGGGGTGTCCTGCTATCACCCTGGAGTGATATTAGTCTTTGATTGACTTCGAATGACTCTTTGATTATGGACAGTTTCCATTAAATAATAATCAAAATATAGATGGACAATAGATCTAATTTGAGATTTTAAACAGCAGACATTTTAAATTGTGCTTCAGAAAGTCATGTTATTTCAGGAGTGTTGTGAGATGGTGTCAAAATCAATTGAAATTAGTCACCCAGTGGAAATAGACATTTTAATAATGAATGTAATGGTCAGATATGTCTTCATAACTGTATCCTTAAGTTTTACATTCACTCAGTTATAATGTGGTAGTTATACGTAGTTTGTTTTAAATTATTATTGATTACATTATATAGTACATATTTCTTAATTTAAGTTCCAGTATATATGTTTTGTATGTTTTTTAGGTATATTTGTTATTGACCGAGTCAGCGCTTTTATTTTGAAGGCAGTTTTTACAGGCCTCTACCGTAGTGCATAGGATATTCGCGCAACGCAATACAACGTGGGAGCTGGCTTGACTGTGTTTTCCGAAGTGGAGGCTGGCTTGACCGCAGTTACTTCTCATAGGTTTTATATCGATGAGCAAGCGAACTTAAGTGAAGACATGCGATACTGACATAATTAGCCTACCTCACGATGTACCTAGCTAATTATGAACTTGCTTTACTTTCACGGAACACATTTATTGTGGTAATACATTTAACAAAGTAACACATTTACCAACACTACACATTTTCTACGCCACTGAAGATACTTACATTTAAATGTGTACTGCTTCAATTCAGCCATTTCCCGCCACAGATTTGGGAAATTGGTCCGTGCGCAAAGAATTGTGGGTCCTTTAAAACCGCCGAGGATACACATGAGCAGCCTCGAAATTTCGTGCAACAAAGTATTCAGCCTTCGGTAGAATTCCAAGGATCCTGTACATCGGAACAGTCCTTCGACGGGATTGGATGACGTAGCATCCGGCTACGTCATCGAAACCTAACCTATCGTCTATTCCTTGACCTCTGTGTGAAACGTCACGGGGTTAAGGAATAGTGGATAGGATGATTCAAAAGTATTTAGGAGAAGAGACTCAGTGCTTTGAGAATCCGACTGCACTTTCACTATCCGACGTATTTATGATGCGCCAGCGGACGTCATAAATGTGCGTCTGCTGTGGGGAATCTACAGTTTTCTATACAGCGGACTACATGGATGTATAATAAGAACGGCGGACTACTGTAAACGCATCAAGATACTATGCACCGAGCTCTGATGGTGTTGTGCATGGGCGTAATTTCCACTGACAAAATCCCATTTGTGTCCCCCCCCACACAGTTTTTAAATGTGTTTATTATTATTTTTGTACGCAAGCGGTCATCGTCACGGAGGAGTGTGTGTGTGTGTGTGTGTGTGTGTGTGTGTGGCACGAGCGCATCTTGTGAGAGAGAGAGAGAGGCCCTTTCTCATTTCTCCCACTCCCCTCCTCGACTCCTATCCTCGAGACTTAGTCCCGCCCACAGGAGATGCGAGCGGAGGAGCCGAGGAGGGGAACCGAGGAGAGAGGAGGGGAAGCAGCAGGCGGTTTCCTCTCTCCTCGGTTCCCCTCCTCGGCTCCTCCGCTCGCATCTCCTGTGGGCGGGACTAAGTCTCGAGGATAGGAGTCGANTCCGCATCTGTAGCCTGTTATTGTCTCATTATACCGCACTGTGAATGAATTAAAAGTACATAAGTCGTCATGAACACATCTGTCCATCAGACAGTGTGCTGCTGTGCGTCCTGTCATCATTAATGGACGTCTCTTTAAAATGACCGCTCAGAGGAGAGGAGTTCTCATTTCTCTAACCGCCTGCTGCTTCCCCTCCTCTCTCCTCGGTTCCCCTCCTCGGCTCCTCCGCTCGCATCTCCTGTGGGCGGGACTAAGTCTCGAGGATAGGAGTCGAGGAGGGGAGTCGAGGAGGGGAATGGGAGAAATGAGAAAGGGCCTCTCTCTCTCTCTCTCACAAGATGCGCTCGTGCCACACACACACACACACACACACACACACACACATAT